TAAATTATCAACGTCTATGTTACCTAAGCTAATTCTTATCAAAAATAATCGATATTATAATATTATATAGAGGACGGATTTGATTTTTGTTTGTAATAAATAAACTAAAAAAAGACGCATCTGAATTCAAAATTGTTGTAAATTTAGAATGCTACATCACTAGCAATTAACACGGATTATGTATTATTTAAAAAAAATGTGTTTATGTAGTTTTATGAGCTACCGTAGTTCCGATCACGCGAAGCCGGAATGTGCCGCCCCAATATTTCAGTATCTACTTCCTTTATTTTCTTTTAATTAAGTAAAACTGCTCTTTTAAAGAACTGCTTTAAAGAACTGATTTTTTGTTTTTGCAATAGCATATGCTGGTGCTCAGTTCCACTCATCTCGAAATCATTCCGAACTGACGGTAGACTTGACATATCATAAGAGTCTGTAATAGATACACGAATAAAATATTTTGAATTTTTTTAACTTAATATCAAGTAATTATATACACAGTAAACCATCGCTGAAATATTTGAATTTCAATGGCAAAAAGCATTTAATATTTTCAAATACAAAATATGTAAGCAATCATAATGTTTTTATCGATACCTGTATATAAATAAGCACTTATTCACACGTTTAATTCAAAAATATTTATATTATTTATTTTTTAAATTAACAGATAACAGTTACAATAGATAAGATATAGATAGTTCAAGAATTCGGTAGTAATTAAGAACAAACTAATTCTCTATTTATTTAATTGTACGTTTTTTTTTTCTATTTGTTAAGGATTCCTTGGATGAGGGCTGCTTACTGGCACGACCCCTTTCTATATTTATATTCCAATTATTTTATACGAAGTCTGTTTATATTCTTTACTGATTGACGCATTGTTCAGTATTTTGTTCTAATATACACGTATATTCTTAGTTGCGTCTGTGACTTCTATCGGTGACTGCAGGACCTAGTAGTCAGTCCTCATTACCGAGCACCACTAACAAAATGGAAACGAAATGGGATAATAGGATAATACTAAAATTTAAACAAATTCTGTATTTTAGAATTTCTGACTACGAATTTTTGAAATATTATTTTATTACAATAAATAAATAAAGGAAGCACTACATTACTTAATGAATCATAGGATTTTTTAACAGTTGGTAATGGAATGATGTATCCACTAGCGCTAGCTGCGTAAAATACTAGGATAAGCAGCAAGTCATCGAGCATGATCCACTATGATTTCGAGGACTTGTCTCGTGAAGATTGGCCTGACATGATACATACACATAGCAATGTGCTAGCAATAGGGCCACTAGTCCCCATTACTAACAATCCCCTTCCCCCTTATGATGTCCTTAGAAACACGATCTATTTATTGGACGAAAAGTATTGTTTGATAAGATTAGTGACTATCGTAAGATGAACAAGAAGAGATAATACATTTTTCAACACAATCACATATTATTGTACTTTAAATTATTTAAAATTTTGATAAAGGATTTGCATTATACGAATTAGGTATCATTACTCATTAAATACAATAATTACAAAACTATTCTTTTTTAATGAATCATATTAATATTACATAATATAATTTTAATAACTAATTGTACTTAGACATAGCATAGGGTTTTATACAATGTAGTTAAGGCGGCATAGAATTCGTTTGCATAGGAAGAAACTATAGTAGGTATAATAAATAAAAGAATATTACATAATATTACCAAAACTTTCATTAATAAAAAATCTAAGTACTACTGAGAATCTTTTTTTGTTTTTAAATGGCTTGGCACGTTAGTGTATTTGCCAACATCAAAGTTTGGTAAGTATAGACAATAAGAAAATTTGTGTATTTTAGGAAAGGATCAGAAAAGTTAATGTGGGTGGTTTTGAAGATTATAATAAGAACATTTTTGAAGAAAACTTTGTAAACACGCAGTCCACTGCGTGGGCACCAGAGTCACCTATTTCAGCCGTAAAGCAGCTAGCTTTGTAAACGCTTTCGGTTGAATGGATAAGGCAGTGAAATTACAAAATTTGGTGGCATAATATCATAATCCTACGGAACGGCAAGGAATTAATGATATACTGGCATCACTCGGTAACGTAATGTCCGTGGGTCTGTACATATTTTAAAGCGACGGTTACCATTTACCATTAAATGCGTTCTCATCTTGTTTACCTTGACAATTACATGAAAAAAGGTGAAGGAAGAGCTCCATCAGAAGTATATATCACTGGTTCCAGATGCATCGACTGAAGATATGCCTAAATGTATATATTGTAGATGCAGTCACGTTCACTTAACTGAACAAATAATCACTATGCACTTAGCCTTAAATCCCTTAGATCATAGACAATACTTTCGAAATATTTTTTATATCACGATGGTGGCAATCAATCATACAGCCCATCTGATAGTAAGTTGTTACTTAAATGAATGACTAAGTCATTACTTAGAACAAACGCCGCGGCGGTCACTCATATTCTCAAAAACCAATAATGTTCCTCATGTTCTATGTAACATAAAATATGGGGAAATAGTGTCATATAGCCAGGTATGTAACTACTGACAGTCCGTAGGACTGACGCGCTGACGGCCCTGTTTGTCATTCTTTTGTCATCAAAAAAACTTAGTTTTTCAGCCAGGATTTTAATGCAAGACTAGATTTAACATCAAGGCAAGTATTTAGTGACTCGCTTATGGAATATAGTAACTCCTTGCGTGGTTCGTCCTACGTACGTACGGGGACTATAAAACTATCGTTTCACCATCTCTGTAGGTGTAAGTAGAAGGCAAGAAATTAGTACGTAGGTAGGACTCGATGTAGATGCTAAATTAAGGACCTATTGGGTAATCTTTTGAACAAACCCTTACTTTGAATATGCGTATAACGAGTGCTTATTTTGCAGAACAGTGAAATTTAAAAGATCTTATATTTACTAGTAATTACTTTCGATATTACAGTTTAACAGAATAATCACTACACTATGACTGCGTCAAATAAAAAAATGTTATTTTTTTAAATTCAATGCATAGTGTTATGTGTTCGAAAATATTATAGTATGTATGCCCATGACTTTAATTAAAACATTTAATGATTTGAACATTTAATTAAAATCGGCTGGATTTAAGCATGTTTATTACTTAATTGGATACAAGTAAATCAAAAAGTACTTATAATTTATAGATGCATTAGAAAATATGTTTATTATAGATATAGAATAATTCAAATACATCTAGTATCTAATAAAATTCTAAAAATCTGTGTTCGGCTGTTATTATAATAATGTTAAGATAGAAATCTAGGTCAAAGTCCAAGTTGAATACGGTTTAATAGTTCAAGTTAAGGTAATAAAATAACAGGTATATTACTTGCAATTAGTATTGTGTTGGAAAACTGTATGTGTACCCAAGTTTAAGTATTATTTGATTAAAGTTTATAAAAGAAACCCATGTTGAATAGGTATTTAATTGTACTTTTGCATAAAAATATGAGTACAGCGGGACACAGGAACGTTCAATGCCATCAGTTACATACGCTTGTTCCAATACCAGATCAACTTTCTCCCAAAAACGTGGGCGATACCGCCATGCCATGCTCTCATTCAATAGATACTCGTGTTTACCTACTCTACGCACACGATATGAGCCAATACAGAAACAAAAATAAGACTACAAATCGATGGGAATGGACAATGATAACAATTGTTTACCTGACGATTATCTACTGCGTATTCAAGGACTTGAAAGTGACGTAGTGTCATATAAACTTCATTTTAGACTACAACAAGTAGACTTTAACCATGTTGTTGTCTCATAATTTCTCAATTTCCATAAAAAACTACTTAGACACCAGACAGATTACTCATTGTTGACATTGAAAATTACGCAAGTACACTGCAATTGTATGTTGTCGAAATGCAACCGATATAGAATTCTTAGCCGTGCTTATAATACCATCTTCCAACAGTACAAAAAGCCGGGCGAATGCCGCATTTAAGACGGGTCCCCTTACCTCTGTCGCTCGTACATATCCTGCGAGGGCTACACAAGACAGCCATAGGTATATCCTCAAATGCATCACAACAAGCGAACGGGAGCCGTCGCACCAGCAATATTGCACAATAGCACTATTAACACAGCACAAAACTATTTGCTGTTATGTTATTCCACTAACACCATACACACGGGGCACAACAACTCGTAAAACGACATACGGGGTCGTCGGGCGATTGTAGTAAACTGAATGCCGCTTGGAGCTCGATTCAGTACGCTGGGGGCGCGCGCCCGCTCGTTCATTCTGTACCTAACTTCAATTTTATCAAGCGTTCGGTCGTCGGCCGCCCGATTGTCGCTGGATCTAGCTACTTCATGTCATCCACACTAATAAAATACGCCTCTCGCAGTTACGCTAAAGCGTAAAATACGCTCACAAAAACACCCTAATATTTGATCGACCGGTACAAGACGTCCCTACGTACAAAGGAATGAACTTGTTCTAAAATTGGACGCGGGCCGGCCAGAGTTATTATTTGCTGGGGCGACGACCGTATGATATTTCATTAAACATGCGTCAAAACAAGTCGTTAACTATAGATTTAAATGTGGCAGCGGCAATTATATCACTATTTATATTTATTTTACTCACAATTTACCAGTAATAAACAAAATCGAAAATTAAAATTTACGGAAAACTATACAACTGTTTAAATATTCTAAATCTATTTAAAAACATAAAAGTGTCTAAAATTTGAATTAATAACAATAATCATAGATCAGTTAATATAAAAAGATAAGAACCACACCCAGATACCCTTTGACTGCACTCCATATCTTTTTTGAAACAACTTATATTGCTAGCAGATTCAAATTTATTCAGTGATCTCTCTCGCAACCGCTAGATGTCGCTATTACCAAAATAATAAACAAGAAAGTTGACTACATTTTTCCAATAATTTCATTCTGAAATTAGGTGATATTTCTCAAAACAACAAACAAACACTATTTCGTAAATAATATATTGTTCAAACTTCAAACTAATAACTAAACAAAATAAAAACAGTAAGTAACGGCCTCAGTAACAAAACAAATTTCAAACTTAAAACATCAAGTACATTTTAATTATATATTCAGACTAAGTTACCGATGTTACTTATATGTGTAGCTTAAATTTTATGCCGAAAGGAGATATTACTTCATGTAAAACATCCTTTATTTCTTCTCAATGTCGGTCATCTGCTCTTTGTGTCTCCTGATCGCATCCTCATGGCGTTTTATCTGCTCCTGATGGAAAGCAATTTCTTTGCTCAAATGACCTCTTAGGCTCTGGATTTGTTCCTTTTGCTGAAATAAATAATTTTAAAAGTAAGTATGTGCAAGTTAAAACACCATGGCATATAATTAACACTTTGTTGTCAGGCAAATTATACAAAAATATTTCTATTTGACATATAGCTAAGATTTCTAATAATTTTCTTCAGTAGAAAGTAGACACTACTAAACAAAATCTGCACAGTATCAGTCATAAATAATATTTGCATAAAATAACAAGATAACTTCTCATCAGTTTTCAATTTTTGGACAAGACAAGTCAACTTCTTACCAATCAACAAATCAAACTTAGTGTTTATTACTAAGCATAAGTGAAAGATAATTCTTCCTTTCAAATAATACACTATTTTATTAACCATGAACTGCTTATGCAAGTATAACTCATTAATAAGTATAAATATACAAATGCCAAATCAACCTTCTTGTAAAAGTATTCATCTTCCCTAGCTGCCTCCATCTTGCCAAATGATCCACCAGCCTCACGAATGGAGCCACCACCGCCACCACCCTTGCCAGCTCCAGATCCAGGCTCGCCGGAATACATTCTAAAAATACAAACACAAATAAATGTGTCTTCTCTCAAGTGAAACAAACATCCTGCACTTTTGCATCAATTATTAATTTATGGTCACCCCTTATAAGTTATAAAATTTGATGTATAGCCTGTACCTATACTTCCTCAATAACTGAGCTTGAAAAATTATGTGTGTTACATATAATTTTTCACTTAGGACCCGAGATTCATAGATAAATTTGTTCTACATAATAAATTCATGTTTACAATATTAGTATAAATTATATAGGGAATCTGTAGACCAGAGAATTATTATGTACAAAATTATGGGAAATAAAGTAAAGAGTAACTCAAGAGTTAAAAATAAAACTTTAAATTTAGCTATATGTAGACCATAAAGTCTATATATCAGTCTAGTAATTCAGAGAATATATTTTGTTATATAAAAAGATTATTATTAAAAAGTTAATTCCTGGTAACACACTATCAATATATTATGTATATCACAGTTAAGTAGTAAATATGCAAGACCCTACACCATAAAGACTCACCGTAACAAATTAACAATATAATTGATTATAGGAAATTGACAATTATGAATATTATATCAACTTTGATTCACAACTCTCTCAAAAAACAACTCTCTGTCACCCACAGAAAACAATTCAAATATCATATATTAACACATTATTTTAATACAAATAATAAGCACATACTGACATTATTTATATATGTGACCATAAGCAAGTCATTAAAAGAAAAAATCTATATGCGCAATAAGTACTGAGATGTAAACAGATTAAATCATCTATGAAAAAAACATGGCTGTGATAATGTGTCAAGACAAGATGACTCATTGATGTTGATATCTTGTGTATAAATGATGTAATGTTTTACCTAGTTAGAGAAATATATAATCATAGTTCAATGTATAACAAGGTGAATGCCAACATGCTATGTTTATTAAAAAAAAACAAGACTTGGTGATAAAACTATGGTCCTTTCATTACTAATAACATTTCTTAATGTTTTAAAATTTTAAGAAGCCAGTTGTTATTTATTGATATTTCACAATATTTAACCACAAGTTATTGTTTGTTCAATGAAAACATTTGTAATTAAGAAGGTACTTCTAGATGGAACAGAATAAATCATTACAGATACCTTTGCAATTAAACGGGTTTATTATTTGAAACAGATTCCACAGATAATTGATATAGACCTAGTCTAAACTTATGAAAATACCGGGATAATGTTAAATGGTTAAATGTCAGAAAAATGTCTCTTCTAACCATGGCGGACGACAATGCCAAAAATACAAATACAAGTTATAAAACGTCATTGCCTATAAAAATATCTTCGTATATTCTAATAAGATGCCGTAGTTGACAAAAATAAACTATGAAAACCAATATTTGCATGCGATGGCGATGGCATGCACTTCAAAAAGAATGAGTGTATTGCGTAACCTCAACTCCATGAGCCGGTAATAAATTCCCACTTACCTCATATTAGAGATAGCAGGCAATAGCGATGTCCTAGTTCTAGCAATAAAACTCATCGTTAAAATACTGATTTAAATAAACTAAAGAAAATATTGTAAGCACGCGAATCCACTACAATTTAGAAATTATAGAAATTTCTCAACAAATTTGACAAGCCAAATTTGAATGACAGCATTGACTTACAGAATTATAAAAATATTTGACTGACAGAACTAACATGTCAATCCCATTTATACAAATTAGTGTTACGTATTTCAATCGGTTTATAAACAAAATCCTTATACTGTGTAAATGGGTATTATTTTATACACATACTGGTACTTACGCCATTTCCTGTCGCTTCACCCATAATACATGTTTTAGACGCTGTTCTGCAGTAATTTTATTTAATTCGGCTGTCTCCCTCATAGCTTTTACTACGAAACGTTCCTCTTGTAACGAATCCATTTTTAATTTCTTTTCAACTGCTGTATACCTGCATATACATACACTGTTCTTAATTTTCATAGGTGACGATAAGAGAAAAGAACAGAAAGATTAATTGGTTAATTTTCACGCTCTTTTCATATGTTGAGGCACCTACATGTTTGACTGATTTCACATGTGGTCACGTCATCGTGTGCTCTCGTATAACCCTTTATGACTATTAATATGTTCTTGTATCATATTATTACAATGAAAATAAAACCGAAGTTTCTTAATTTAACTTGTAATAAACTAACTAATATTAAATTTAACGCCTAATAAAACAATCTGAGCAATATTGCGAATGCGGTTCATTTATAATGTCTTTTATCTGTATGTATCTAATCTCAGAAAATGCACTGTTTTTAGGAATCTAGTAACATACAAAATAATAGTATGTGTAGATATTGTACAAACAGAACAATACTACTCAGAAAACATTCGAAATTAAAAAATAGCTCGAAATGAATAATTAAAAGTATTCTGTTCATATATATATTGTTATAAGATTACTAGGTATACTGGAATACACGCTATTCAATTTGCTGTAATACAGCCAATTTTGAAGTAATACTAAAGAAAATCGACTAATCCAAAAACACTTCCTACATTTATACTTTCCATAAGAATGTTATAAAAACAACCTAAAAATATTTGCATATTGAATGGAATTGAATGAAAAATTATTATACAGAGACAGAATAAAATGCCAAATAATATTTGTTTGCATCCGAACAAACCGTTTTTTTTTGTATTTGTACAGCTAGATTTTTTTATAATAACTAAAATGTAAATATATATATACCTGAGAAATTCTTTGAACTCTGTTTCAAATGGATTGTTATTTAATTTCTCCTCAGGATAAGGGGCGTCCGTCATACATGAAGCATTCTTCTTGCCAGAAATAACATCGACAGTATCGATCCTTTCATCATGAGAGTCGTAGTCGTTGGTCTCAGATATTTGTTCGGTAGATGAGGATCTCAGTGAGCCAAGTTCAATTGTCATTGAATTCTGTTGATTGTCGATGGTCGAGAAGGTGTTTGTTCCACTACAGCTAGCCTGGTTAATTTCACTGAAAATCCCGATAATAATTTTGACATATAAATTAATATCTTTATTACAAAATATGGGACTTTGATGGTAGAAGAGTGGATAAATTTCGGGTGTATTCTTAATTAAAAAATTGTGTCCATAAAATAAGAAAAAAGTTGTGATAGGCAATCCTTATCACTAAGGGATAATGAGGAATTTTGTTGCAAGCACTGTGAGACGAGAATTTTATATATTTGATAGATAGAAGTTCAATACTGAAATTTACTTGCCTTCTTTATTTATTTTTTACTCTCTTTCGCTAAAGGTCAATGGAAGGGCACTAGAGAAGGATGAAAGATAAATATAAAATCATGTCAATTAACGCAGCGTGATGAATTCAAGAAAAATTTACCATCTAATAGGCCGCTCGTTTGTCACCATTGTAGTAGGTATAAAAAAATCGCGAGTCGCTTTGAAATCCACCTGAAGAATTAGGTCTTTAAATTAAATACATTGTTAGCAATGGGATCCTCATTAACAATGATCGACTTTTAGAGATTGACTTAATCCACATACTTTCGACCAGAGCCTAGCAGTACATGTTACAGCAGGCGAAACGTCATTCTATCATTGCAAAGGAACACTTAGTTAATTTTAAACTTTCGTGTTTAATATACATTATTTAAATTATTAATCGGGTCTTAACACGAATAATCGACATCGCTGTTACTCAGTCAGCTCGTGACCACGGCTAGTGCAACCTAGTCGAAACGTCGAGAGAGGTAAATACCTTTATTTCCCATAAAATTATTCGTGTTAAGACCCGGTTAATAATTATATAAAGGAACACTTCTTAATAATAAACAATATACAATACCATAAAATAAAAATATGAATGGAAATACATATACTAAAGCCAACTAGTTTACGTATGTACTATCACACAATAATGTGACAAAACTTACTCGTCAATACGTTCGGCCTTAATTACGACATTAGTGGTTAACGTCGTATCATTCAAACTCTCATCCTTTAAAACACCGTCTTGCACCAGGTCAAGAATATTACAGACTTCTAACGATTGTCGAGTAAACTTCTCCACTGCCGGACCGACCGAAGCGATCTCTTCCCGAGCAATCCTCTTCATGTTTTGCCACTGAGTCTTTACCTTCTTTATCGAACTAGTTGAAAACTTATTACCGAATCTCGATGCTAGTTCTCTGAGAATTTCATTCCAGGCGACATCCTTTTCTTCAGAATAATTAGGTCCATTGTTGTTCTTTGTAACAACTGCATCCTTACGTTGCTTAATTAACTCAAGTAGGTACTGTTTCTCGTCTATAGACCAGTTCGGCGTCCTGGACCGCCTGTTAATTATCTTGCCCATCTTCTTTCTTACCTCTTTGGGATCGTGGTTAATTTTTTGCAACGATTTGTTGCAAACGATGCACTCAACGTCTAATATAATTGGCTTCCACATTTAAAAACAATTGAAGAGCGAAATGCAAGTGACAAGACGCCAGGCAGTTTTGTTGTTAATTGAATGCTGTAATGACCTATTTGAATGCAGTTCGTATTGGAAAATTATTCGATCGATGAAATTTTTGATAATTTAAATTTTTTTATTCTGTTGTACGTTTAGTTTGCGATAAAACATATAAATAATGTGCAGTAAGAAATAGTGTGTCTGAATAAGATTAAGTAGTGTACTATTTGTTTTAAACATATTTAATTTATATTTGATAGCTGTATTAATTTACTTCGATGTAAGTACTGGCTGATTTTAATGGCAACGTTAAGTTGGATGGAGCGTAGTATTAATCGATAATTTGTTTTCTATTATTCTCAGGTGAAACCAGATTAAGAATGTAACGGTAGTTTCAGAATACAATTAATAAATATTCAAAAGTGCGTTTATTTTTTTTCAAATTCATAGTTGTTGAAGTTAACCTCGTTAAATTTGCTCGCATTTTTGGTAGTTGAGGCAAAAGGCTGGAAGGCAATTCTTAACTTGAGTTAATTATTTTCTAAAGGAAAACGTATCTTCAGTAAAACAATAAAAAGTAATCATGTATAGACGATTTATGCCATATAGCAAAAGTTTTAATAATCTCTGGTATTAAAACAGAATACCTATAATTATTTGAATGTATATTTCCTGAATGGTATTTATATATAATATTATGAACCGTTAATTAATTGATACATCTTACAATACTTTCCTAGTCTGTCGAAGAAACAAATAGAATAGTTAACCAGTCCGAATTTGAACGTAACTCTGCTTGCACGTCGCGCCCTAATAAATATGAACACGTTTACCTTCGTGAAGCTCAACAAATTAATATTAAACTAATTATCAGTATTTCTATATTATATATTTACTAACATTGTGGATTATACTGCTCAATAAAGGAATATTGTGATGTTATAACAAGATTTTCAGTGAATCAAATCTGGTAAGTTTCCCTATCTCATATTACACGCAATGTTTGGTTGTATACTATGTTAACAAAATATAACAATTTTATGTGTATTTATAATGTTAGATAATTGAAAAAAAAATATATAATAATTTTATGCGTATTTTTACGTGTTCTTATAATCTACACTGATCTTAAATTCAGCCTAAGCTAATAATGATTGGAAAGTGCTCCTTTCGTAGTAAATAAAGAAATATCGTAATTGCATTGTATTCTGAAATTATTACCAGTCCTGTGGTTATTTGTGAATTCTTGCTATGTTATTTAATATTTATTATGTACTAATCCTCTTCGACTTCGCACGGATGTACTCATTGTATATAATATATATAAGTATTCTAATTTATACATATAAACCTACAAGAAGTAGTTCTCAAACCGGCAGTGAAAACCGGGTCAAAATTCTTTACATGGTTTAGAAGAAGTAAGCAGAGATATAGACAGACGTATACATCTTTCCTTGTATTTATAAATATAAATAAATAATCAATAATCTAAAAACAAAAATATCCATAATCTTTATTCAAATAAACTACTACTAAAACTTAATATAAGTAATTTTGAATAGTCCTATTTTGTTGATTCCACCACTCATTCGTAATGTAAACTCGTCGCAAGAAGAATATGCAAAAAACATGCGTGTTGCTCTTTTAAAAGTGGATAAACTTATATCACGTTGAAAGTAGAACTAACGATCATTGAATAAAACTTATACATGCAAATAAAACCTTCTATTTGGAAATAAAACCTAATACCAAGAGCAACGGGAATGTGACCGCGCTCACCGGGCAGCGACGGCAATGCTGTAACCCAATACTGTACGGGGCGCTGTACTCAAGCATCACAAGGGGGGAAAGTGGTCTAACCTCGTGCGATACTTACTTATTAATAATAACTGGCTAGTTATTATATATACCTAGGTATATATAATAACTAGGTGACCCGGCAAACATTATTTTGCCATATAAATTAATATCGCTATTAAAAAATTGGGGTTGATAAAAGAGTGAAAATTTAAAGTTGTATGTATTTTATTGCCATATAATTAAAAAAAATAATAATAATATTTATCGTTTTCGAAACATGTATATAATTTCATCAAAATCGGTCAAGCCGTTTCGTAGGAGTATAAACATACATATACATATAAACACGAAACCTGTGATACGAGAAATTTATATATTAGATAATTATTTAAAAACTTATGTTAATTTATGCACTAATTTTCTAATCTTATTACTACTATAAATGCGAAAGTTTGTGAGTATGGATGTATGTTTGTTACTCTTTCACTCCAAAACCACTGAACGGATTTTGATGAAACTTTACAGTAATATAGCTTATACATCAGAATATATATTATACATAAGGCTATAATTAAAAAAAATATGTAAATTGGGCGATACAGATGGAGGTGAAGGAGACGAAGTTGCGCGGGGCAACTAGTTTATAATGCAGTAATTTATATTATGAACAGAAAAGATTTGATTGTTTATTTGCATTGTATAAGCTCCGGAACTACTAAAGCGTTTAGAAAATTAGAATCCTACATTAACCCTAATGAACATACCAGATAGAATTAAAAAAACGTGCGAATTCGATAAATCTAATGTTTGAAACAAAACCAATGTGTAAAAAAAATCCTGTGGACCAAAGTAATGTACTACAGCATTATAGAGAACATCAATAACGAAGTGTATATTTGATTTTTTTAAATACCCGTGCAATGGTATTTTGGGCCACTAGTATTTTAACTAATGAACTTACTATGTTTTCGTCTTTGACGACAATTGTTTCGACTTCATCCGGAAGTTTTTATCAGGGCATTGTTACAGCGTCTCGCCTCGTACTATAACTTAGTAAGTTCACTAAAATTCCGTACATTACATTGTACTTTATTAGAATAATTATTTACACCATCTACACATACTTATATTAAACTAACTGACTGATATCTCAACGCCTAATCAACTGGGATTACATTCTAGAAATTTCGAATACAGCTACGTCGACTATGTCGACCTTTCGTGTAACGGTTTTCGATGTTTGTTTTTATAAAAAAAAACTAACATCACTTGTCTACCGCATATAAAATTCAGATTTTAAGTTAGTTCATGATAATTTTCTGTTGTATCTTAAACTAGCTATGTCCCGCTGTGCTGCTCGCCTGGAATTCAGCTTATGTTTCTCACAGATAATGTAGCCATCTGTAGTTAAAAGATATTTATAAATCTTTAATTTTATTTTTAATTTATTTTTTACAAACGAATAAACGCTACGCATACGCTAAAACATAATATTAAAAAAAAGATAGTCTTCTAATGAAATTTTACAAATCACAAGGACACCCAGAGGCTTTCGGTTATCAAAAACAATGAAAATATTTCATTAATGTAATTTTTTTTTATTAACAATCCTAATGTTTTCGAGTTGTCATGTTAAAATACTCATAGCAGCAATTTTGTTCCAGTACCAAATGACTTAAATCCACGGTACAAAAATGAAAACGACCGATTTGAAGCTGCCCACTCGCAACCTCCTGACAGGCCGCGTGGTGGACTGGGAAGACGATGAATTGGGCAGCTACGTGGACCACCCTCAAAATCTCACGCTCTCGTGGAAAGACTTATCGGTGTACAGAAGGAAGAAACATCAGACCAGTATATGGAGGTCACCGACCTATGAAGATATTAAAGTACTGCACGGTGGTAAGTTGTTTACAAAAGTTGTTTTAATTATAAAAACAAACAATCATGACATGTGTATTGCATGAACGAAACATTTGACATGAGTATATTATTTTTCAGTCGACGTATCGACTCGTGACTAACACATTTACAGTCTATTAATATAAAAAATTAGGAGCTTGCAATTAAAATTATCATAATAAATAATATTTACAATTAATTAGTAAACAACCGTAAAAACAGTTTAAAACGATATTAATCATAGCAATATCTATGAATTAAAAATAAAACCCTAAAATAAAATTGACTAAGATATAGCGAACATTACAGAATAGGTACATTCTAATTGAATTTAGATAATATTCAATTTTTATATCTGTTATTACTGTCATACTGTTACCACAATAATCTCCTTTTATGAGGGTCTACATAAAAAAAGAATTTAAGACTACTAAAAAGAACTACGTTTTCTTCGATCGGTCCCCCGTCCCATTCCAACAGGAATCGAAATTAGGAAGTCGTAATTACGATTCCCGTTGGAATGGGACGGGGGAGCGTAGGTTTGAACCCCTAGCGGTGTCTTCAGGCTGATATCGTATCCGACAGCCAGGAGTTGGCTTTCAGTCATTCTATAAGTTCTTCGTTTCACCTTCCTGGCAACAGCATTACAAAAAAGTAAATGCGTCGAGGACTCTAAATACCCGTACCTAACAGTGGAATAACGGTTTATAACAATCATAAAAACATTTTATATAAGCGGTACAACATTAATTAATCAACTAATATCAATACAATTTCAAAGTCATTAGCGATGTTTGGGAAAATGGTACGATTTCACAATAAGATACTTACAAACTGGTATTTTGTATTAATCATGTTTTCTACTAGGTCACATGTTGATCACAGTATTAACACTTATACATTATGTGTACATTTTAGAAAATTTTTAACATTACTGTTACTACAGTAATATCAGTGGCACTCAATGAGGAAGTAGCCATTATTATTGCTAAAAGTTGCATATAGATGGCGTGATTGGTATCGATGGAATTCTTCATAGTTTTGCAAACGTTTTAAAAAACAAAACTGTGTTTTCAAAAATGTTTAATCAATTTTTAAAAAGTTATATATACATGTTAAAATGAAATAATGCGTTTAGAAAAGTAATTTCATATATTTACTCATTTTGTTATTTTCCAGTACTTAATTACACTTTAATCAGTGCTAATACGGGGCTCAATGTTTTCAAAATGCTTTCATAGATGGCATTGTCGTCATTTGTATCGGCCTAATTAAATGTCTTTTTTATATTTTCCAATAATAAGCACTAAATATATTATTATTGTAAATTAAACATATAAAAAAAATTTAAGTAATTTAAAAATAGCCGAACAAGCAAGTAATACTATTTCATATAATACTTATGTATGAAGTGTTGTCATATTAAAAATAAATACATGTATTATCGATTTTTTTTAATAATCGATAACAGGATTTTATTACAGCGCATTACTCGATGATGCTTTTAATGAGTCGTTGTGAACAGTAAATTTTCATTATTTTGTATTATAGCAGTGTTCCGTTTCAAAGAATGTTAATGTTTTTGTAGAAAAAATTTAAATACATAGCACTGACAATATTATCTGATTACACTAATAATGAGTGCGTAGCTATTTCTATGTTGATTATCGCATGCCTCTTACTTGTTACACTGTAATTATTTATATAAAAAAACATCTATTAAAAAGAGCAACACACAAGTTTCTTTCTCATTCTTCTTGTGATGAATCTGCATTCCGAATGAGTGGTAGAATCAAAATATGACTATTCAAAAGTGCTTGTAATGAGTTTATTTGAATAAAGATTATTTCTATTTCTATTTCTATTTCTATAGTAGTACATTATTAGTGTCGTTGGTTATTTACATTTGTACTGAAAAATCGATTACATAATAATTTAAAATATCGAGTACGAATCGTAGCTGTCTTCGAATACTGGCAACTGGTAAGATTAAAATAGTATTTAAAAAAAAGAGAGAAATCAACCCTAACTCGAATACCATAAAGTTGATTTACCTTTCTCATTAATATCATAGCAGTTTGTTTTTAACTTGCGTATGACTCTGTGGTATGATGTTTAACGTGTATTGTTATTGTACGGTGCATACATTTCAAAAATTATATTTTAATGTAGGTACACACATTTCTTTCATACACTTCATACATGTCAAAAATTATCTTTTAATGTAGGTACATACATTTCTTTCATACATTTCATACATTTCAAAAATGAACTTTTTATGTAGGTACATACATTTCTTTCATACATCTCATACATTTCAAAAATTATATTTTAATGTAGGTACATACATTTCATACATGTCAAAAATTATCTTCTAATGTAGGTACATACATTTCTTTCATACATTTCATACATTTCAAAAATGAACTTTTTATGTAGGTACATACATTTCATACATGTCAAAAATTATCTTCTAATGTAGGTCCATACATTTCTTTCATACATCTCATACATTTCAAAAATTATATTTTAATGTAGGTACATACATTTCATACATGTCAAAAATTATCTTCTAATGTAGGTACATACATTACTTTCATACATTTCAAAAATTATATTTTAATGTTGGTACATACATTTCATACATGTCAAAAATTATCTTTTAATGTAGGTACATACATTTCTTTCATACATTTCATACATTTCAAAAAGTATCTTTTAATGTAGGTACATAACACCCCATGTCAGACCCCTTGTATTTGGAAGAAACTTAAAAATAATGCCAAAAATATTAGATGAATATATTTTTAATACGAATACTGTTTTATTTTTGTTCATCAACTTTATCCCTCACTAACAATACTAGTAGTAGTACATAACCTGGTTTATACCGCTAAAGATATTGAAAGATATACGAGTAATTCAGAATGTTATCAAGTTCAAAATAAGCACACATTACTTGCTTAGATAACAGAGTAATATTACTCGTAATAAAAACATTTGTAACACCCATATGTATACTACGTATGTATAGTAAGTACTTACGCTGCGGCGCCGTGAGACTCGTCTACCTCATCTATTAACCAATAGGAGCGCGCCTCTCGTGTTTAACGGACGATATAGTAGTAAGGCAATGAGTGTCCCAGTGACATCATTATAATATTTTCTCGTTAAATTTTATTGTAATATACACAATATCGCACTAAATAACGTGTTACCCCGTTACACATTTCTAATAATGAAAAACCTAGACCGACCCTGTTCACTTAATCTTACAAGATCTGACTTTAAAAATTACGATATCCTCATATAGCCTTTCATTTCCCCTTTCAATACTTTTTCGCATTAAAAAGTAGCCTTTCTCAGGGTCTACATTATCTGTCTACCAAATTTCAATTAAATCAGTTTAGTAGTTTTGGCGTGAAAGCGAGACAAACAGACAGACTGAGTTTTTAGCATTTATAATATTTGTAAGAATATCGCTATTAAAAATAGGGGTTGGTGAAAGACGGGTGAAAATATAGGCGTGTATGTATTTTCAATGTAACATTATAAATAAATAAAAAATTGTCCATAATACAAAAAAATATTTTTTCGGGGTAGGCCACCCCTATGACTTAGGGGTATAAAAAATAGATAACAACCCTACCTCAGACCTGGCAAGTATACATATCATATTTCATCAAAATGTGGGAGAAATATGGCAACTAACACCGTGATACAAAATTTATATATAAGATATAGCGGAATTCTCATTAGTTAAAAGAGGGGTACATCGTAGAATACATGAGGTATATACCAGTAAATTAATTGTAGCTAAAATCAGTCTCATACATATAACGATTGAAATAAAAAATCGTATAGCCCGATTTTGATACGTACGAGTATAAACGTATCAAAATCAGGCTATACGTATAGCGCAGACGCGTTACAACATATCAAAAAAATAGGCATGGAATGTAAAATAAACCATAACATAATAGGTATATACATTGGCACATAAGCCATATCTGCAGAGTGTCGGCTAATGATATTATACCTACACATTTACATTGAATCTTGAATCGTCCCTAATGAGGTACACGATACAGTTACCTACATATCTATTATATACATATCTTTGCAAAACAGATGTCATGTAGACTGAATTGACTGCCATCTATTTTCATGCTTTGTTACTAAGCACCCACTAGTAATCCGAACTGCTTCAGATCTAGCGACATCTAGCGGCTACGGTGGCGAAATAAAATAGCCCGAAGAATAGCCCGAGTTAGGAAGGAACCATTTTCTTGTATGGGATGGGGTATCTGTATGTAATATTATGTTATCTGTGGTAATATTAAAAATCTGTAAAATATACACAAGAGAAACTATTGAATAGAAATAAACTTTGTTCAAATAAATTTAAATTTAAACTCTTTTCAATAGTCACATTTTTAATGTCTTTTAATCTAAGAACAATATTCATCTTTACATTTGAAGTGAAAATATGTGTGAATAAAATTACTAAATAGCACAAACTCATTAGAGTCAAAATATTAAATATACAGTAGAGTAAGCACTATCAATTGTACAAAGAGAATCAACACAAAATCATTTTTGTCTGGAATCTGAACTGGACGGTTGGAAAAAAACATTAATACAGAAACTTGACTTGTGTTTCTACTAAATAGTCTCACATGAATACATATTTTTTGTAATATTGAAATCTAGCGCTTCTTTCCCAATCTGGTTTTTCTGCCAATGTGCCACATAAACCTACTAATTTATTTTACAGTAATTATAATATTATTATTGTAATTTAATTATTCATCATTACATAGTATACTATGTAATGATGAATAATTAAATTACAATTAATAATATTATACTTTGTTTTATAAAACAAAGTCGCTGTCGCTGCCTGTCCGTCCCTATGTATGCTTAAATCTTTAAAACTACGCAACGGATTTTGATCCGGTTTTTTTTAATAGATAGAGTGATTCAAGAGGAAGGTTTATATGTACAATACATGTAAACCCTGGTGAAGCCGGGGTGAGTAGCTAGTATCTTATAAGGCGAATATAATTTTGTTTATGTTACAGTGAGTGGGACGGTTTCATCCGGAAATTTGGTAGCGTTAATGGGTTCAAGGTTTGTTTTCAATTTGGTATACTACTGCTATGATCACAAAACTTAAATTAACTTACTTATGTCCTTGAGATAAAGCTGTCTAATTGGTTATGAAAGTAAAACTAATTCCCATTGACTTTTCATGTCTGTTAATGGCTATAACCACTTTATCCGATAGTGACCTTCAATTTTTAGTTTTGTACCATTCCTGTGACTACACCCTAGGTCTACAATAATTTTATATTTTTTTTAACTAGCGGTGCAGGAAAGACTACTTTGCTAGCTGCGATAAGTCGCCGCGATAAAAGTGCCCTTACTGGATATCTGATGCTGAATGGAAGGTTGGCGGGTGCGGACCTGATCGCTCGTATATCCGGCTTCGTGCCACAGGAAGATCTAGCCATAGAATATCTGACAGTGACTGAACATATGGAGTTTATGGTGAGAGATATTATAAAAAGAAAAAATATATTTCATAGTTCCGGCATCACACGAGTAGACATTTTTTAACACTTTTGGCTACATTACTGAAGTTTTAGTATAGTATGTATATAGAGTTCTAATGATGAAATAATTTTTATTTTTCAATAATGTTATAATAATAATATTTAACACCATTCACACAGCGCCATCCTAGTCCTAAGGTAAGCCGAGCTTATGTTACTGTTATAAATACATAGATACATTTTTTTGTAACTACATACATAATATACATAGAAAACACCTAGACTGATACAAACAATCATACTTACCTACCTGTACCGTCCGAGGAATCGAACCCGCATCATATGTAACGCGGTGTGGTAAAATGCTAAACTACCGAGGCCATCAATATTATATATCATAAACAATTTTGATTTGTTGTTTTGTTTGTTTTCAATTATAATGACATCGTATTTCTCTATCAGGCACGATTAATGATGGATAAGCGATCATCGAAAGCGATAAGAGCAAGCCGTATAAAACAGTTGCTGAGTGAACTGGGCGTGATGAATTGTACTCGGACGCAATTGAAGGCACTGTCCGGAGGAGAACGAAAACGGGTAGCGTTAGCCGTTCAGGTAATAAGCCAACATCATGTAATCATTCAACATATTGAACATATGCACCAAAAGTTGTTTGTACCAGGTACCTACTAAGAAAGCGAGGCGCTTGGCAATTCAATTAAGTGGGATTCAAGTACCCACGCTGATGACTTTAGTAAACTATTAACAAAAAAACTTAGTACATTACTAGGACAACTTCACGTCACGATCCAACAAAGAAATTATAGGATAAGGAATATCTTGGTCCACTGGAATGGCAACTCATGAGTAAAATCACGGATGTCACAAAATAACGTGATTTCCTTAGTGCTGTTCATGTATATAGGCTAGGGTTCTTACTTGTCAATTTAAATATTATGGACTTGCAGAAAATTAATATTTGTTTATTATTTTATATTACATTAATTTAAAATAAGAATATTAAGATTAGCCGCTCCAGAAACACTGGACATCACTGCACTGCTGCGAACCCAGTGCTTCTGGACATTAACATAAATAATATTTTTTACTCGCATAATAAATAAAATAAAATTAGACATACAACTATATATTTTATATATATACACACACACACACACACATAGATACACTAGTAAATAATATACGTATCTATATAGTTATTACTATAGAACCTTAAAATTCAAATATTTAAAAATGGTACTGTTTTAGAAATAGTATAAATACAACAATTGCAAGGAATCAATTTCCAAATAATATTACAGCTTCTAAACGATCCCCCAATACTTTTCTGCGATGAGCCAACAACAGGATTGGACAGTTGGGCTGCCAGTGCTGTAGTATCAAGACTTAGGAAGCTAGCAATTGGTGGAAAACTGGTGATCTGTTCAGTCCACCAACCCGCTTCGGGAGTGTTTGAGCTGTTCCATCAAGTTGTATTATTAGCTAATGGTAGAACAGCTTTCCATGGGACTATAGATCAGGCTGCGCATTTCTTTGGATCGTAAGTATCTCATTCTAGTCTATGATCTAATGTTATGTTTGAATATATATTTCTTAATACCTTTAACCAAATCAATAGTTAATAAAATTAAAGTGCTTTCATAACGTAAAATAATGTGACAAAACTCTACGTAGTAGAGTATTTACAATTTATTTTAAGAATATCTTAGTTTCATAGATGTTAAAAGCATCTGTTTTTTTTTTAAATTAAATTATAGATGTGTTCTTTAATATATTGTTTACTTTTATAAAGTATATTCTATCTATCTGTCCATTTCTATACTTTTTTTAAAAGTCTAATGAATACTTTTGCAATGTAACCCTCTAAAAACGTAATAGTCATATGACACTCTATAGTGTGTTTAAATTTATCTGTCTTCTCTACAGATTAAACTACAAATGCCCCGTAGGCTTCAACCCCGCGGAATATTACGTGACGCTACTTGGCGTGCAACTCGACAAAGAGATAGAAAGTCGAGAAAGGATTCGTCGCATATGTGATGAATACCAACGTTCAGAGATAGCAGCTGATATAGAAAACACAGTGGACGAAGTACAAGATGAGGCTGAGTATTTCAATGGAGATGTTAATGGAAAGGTAAGGTCGGAACAGCCGACATTCGTTTATTTAAAAATTTCTCAATCCTAATCCGCCAAATCCATCTAGTCCAATAGAAGACAGTTCCAAATATAACAATAGTATATGTCTATTATGATTTAAAAATTGGATTAAAAATCCGATGAATCCGAAAAGTTATTGATATTTTGAAACATGCATTCTTTTTAAAGAAGAAAAAAAATGTACTTATGATACAGAACCTTTCGTAGATTTTAGTGTCATCGAGTAAATCTTTAAAAATGTAATGATGATATATAATAAGAATGAATGAAAACTTTCTTGTGAAGAATTCTTTCTTTCTAAATGACTACCGAAATCTACGTATGAGTACCTAAATCTCGATCTTTATAATTATCACATTGACTGCAAATAATATAATATAAAGGAATGAATTTCTTATTGATAACATACAATACATAAGGTATACAATACAATAGAAAGCCAAACTTAAAATTCAACAATACAATAACCTTTGTAATTATATGTTTCAGAATGACGTCTTTGAACGTTACCTAACTCTGTAAGTAGTGTTAGAATTAAAATCAGTACTCATTACATTACATATTACATCACTTTTTGCATACTCTGGTGACATGATTTCTTATCATATGTTTCAGAGTCAAAGTGAATTATTTCGTACAATTTTATTGGTTACTGTGGAGAAATGTACAATCTATAAAACATAACAGCACAATATGGATAGCAGAGTTCTTACTTCTAATGGTAAAAATATATTTTTATTGTCATGAAACTTTCTTGTTCTTTAGTATATTTCTTACATTGATATTTATAGAAATAGTAGATAGATGTTTATATAAATAGTAAAGATAATTTTGCATAACTTTTTTATCAAACGACTTATGATGAGTAATCAAAGGATTCTCCTACAGTTCGTCGGACTAATAATTTCAATACCGTACATGGGGCATTTCGATGAACTAGACCAAAGGGACATTCAAAACGTCCAGGGTCTTTTATACCTCACCATTACGGAGACGATATTCCTCTTCATCTATGCAGTCTTTATCACCTTTCCAAGTGAGGTTCCAATACTGCTACGAGAGACTGCCAGTGGGTTATACTCGCCGCTACCTTATTATCTATCAAAGATGATATTTTGGGTGAGTATATTATATAAATTATTCAATGCTTAAAATATAACTTTGGACACATTGTAGGTAACTCAGCAACAGTTAATAGAGTTGAATTCACTTATCATCTTTGCAACATTAGAATGAATCATTGTCACAAATTGATTGATGGAATCCTTCATAAAATCTAGATTAAAATTAGATTAGTTCAAAATTTTGGAAAACATTTTGACACATTTCCATATGATCAATCAGAAAATTGCATATAATTAACAAGCCATTAAAGCCGATATGTGTCGTAAGTATTTAATAACATTTTAATTTCAGATTCCCAGAGCAATTATTGAGCCGATACTTTATGCCTCGCTAATTTTTGGCGTCGCAGGATTGCATGGCGGCTTTTACGGCTGGCTTGGATTTACCTTTGTTTGCATTTTGTGTGCTAATTTTGCAAATGCTTATGGTAAGTCGATTATTTCATTTTATGTACTAATTGTAAGTACTTCTTGGTTTATATTTTTTTATCTATTTAAAGCATGATTTACTTGGATAAACCCCGTAGTTAGTATAACTTTACCTTTTGCATACAACATGTAACTTGACGTAAAGCAATTCATTTAAACTCAAACCCGCTATCCCCGTTATACCTTATTGTATAACTTAACTAATTTATAAAAGCAAAGGAATAAATATTTGTATCTGATTAAAAACTAAAAAGACATTAAATGTCTTTTTGGATGGCAAGATTTTTACCTGTTTACAAATACTTTGCTTTATTGCTAATTACCTTGTATTGCAGGCTCATTCCTATCATCTGTATTCGACAAAATGGAGACCGCAGCGCTGTTCTCTGTACCCTTTGAATTGGTTGGCACCATGTTTTCCGGCATCTATTTAAACATTGCGAGCGCTTACCCCGCTGTGTCCTGGTTGCGTTTCCTCTCCGGCTTCTATTACGGCGTCGAGTCCATCTCGATTCTCCAGTGGGATTCTATTACATCTATAAAATGCGTTAACATCCCCGGCATGCCCTGTATCAGAACCGGTCCTGAAGTTTTAAAAAGATATGCTTATGACCAATCGAATTTTTGGCGAAACTGTTGTTGTTTAGTGGCCATGTATTGTATAGCACATTTGATCGCGTTTATAATGGTCGTTAGAAGAAGTAAAGGTACACCGGTTTATTAGGTATTCATACAGTTGAATTTATTCATATAGTTTAAAGAAGATCTAATAATCTATCTGCACACGACTGTTCTGAATGGCATTTCGTAAAGTTTCTCGCCTTTAACAGCAATGCATATTGTTGCCTTTGTTGTTGCAATGGTCTTCTTAAATAACAACATATTTGTGCTTTGGTGATGAATGAAGGAACCTTATTCTACTATTAGGTTTATAAGGAGTAAGTACCTACTATTTTAAGCAAGCGGACAAATCCTTGCCATGTATAGTAATTTATAGAGTAGTAATAGTTAAGTCTGTATATTAAGGTACATTTTACTTTAATATACCGATAAGTATCTACTTAAAATATAGTAGTATATTCCATATTATCATAGTACAATTGATCAATACTAGTTTTTACTTTTTATTAATAATTTCAGAGAAGACAAAATAAGATTAAAACTAATACTAATAATGTAATAGACATGCATGAACATTAAAAATGCCTTATTTATGACTAGCGACTGCTTTACATTTCTTTTCCCTTCTGTAGCTTGTAGAATTCCAACATCCACTGCATTTAGATAGAGTACTAAATCTTCCATAAGTAACTATTAACATTAGAGTTTATTGACAAGACTATCACAAAACTGCGCAATTTATCATTCCAGGATCATTTCTATCGGCTGTCTTCGACAATTTGGAAACTGCTGCTTTGATAGCAGTACCTTACGACTTAATAGGTTTATTATTCGCTGGTATATACCTTAACTTAGCAAGTGTATCACCTTACTTCTCCTGGCTCAAATTCATTTCAGGATTTTACTATGGCGTAGAGAGTATATCTATACTACAATGGGATTCTATAAGAAATATTAGATGCGTTAGTGTAGATGACGTGAGATTTCAAGAGATGCCTTGCATAAGAACTGGAGAGGACGTTCTAACAAGATTTGGTTATGACAAGGAGAATTTTTGGAGAGATTGTGTTTGTTTGTTAGTTATGTATGTTGTAGGTAATATTATTGCGTTTGTTATGATTATTAGAAGGAGTAAAGGAACTCCTGTTTATTAATAACCGTTAATATTTAAAACTTCAGCAATTGTAATAACTATATTGACTGATAAATCAATGTAGTTATTTTAAAAAAGAAGAATGATTTATTTACAAACATACGAAATGTTTGTATATCGTAGTTTTCTACGGTACGATTAACTAGAATATAAATAATCTTTATTTATATAGACTTATTTACAAGCATTGCTCAATTGTCATGTATATGCGTATAATATAGGTGTAGTAATAAGTACAATAAAACATTATTTAATATTTTTATTAAAAAAAAAATTTTTTTATTATATTACAAATAAAATATTTTTAATACGCGTATCCTTTATTTTCTTCTCGTTTCAATCCATAATATGCCAATGTACTCCATATTGATAGAACCAAGAATAGACCCGAAATATCTTGTACTATATAATTTTTAGAGTATCCCATGTAAATTAAAGCCGATACGCCATCTTTGATACAAGGGTCAGTTGAGTTTGACGGACAATCTAAAAAAATGTGCCTAAATTAATGTTTATTTTATCTAGAAAAAGTAATACCATTGACTGATTATATCTAAGATTGACCTAATTAGTAAAACTCATTTGATCTGTAAGAATGTTAACAAAGAAAAGTCTTTTGGGAGTTTCGACCATAATGGGGAAAATTGCTTTCGAACAATAATCAATATCTACTTGTATTATCACCTCATAGTCACGTTGATTATAAGCTAAACAGTGAGAGACGAATCTGAAGGTATATTCAAGTCCTCCGTCTAGTTTCCTAATTCCCATGCAAACTTACTGGTACCACAGATAACATAATATTACATACTGGTACTAAAAGGTTACGACACTTCTCTATGGCTTGACAATCCGGGTAATAATTGTACAACACAGTATATTACTAGATTTGATTAAACTTATGTCCAGCTATATATAGTATGTCAAGATAATTCACAGATGTAATCCCTAGCTAAGTAGAGCTTGTGTTATAGATACTGGACAAGTGATATCAAAACATAGATACATTGTTTTGTAAATACATACATAATATACATAGAAAACACCTAGACCGATACAGCAATCATACATTGCATACAGCATATTTGTATCGTTCAAGGAATCGAACCCGCGACCTTCGGAAGCAAGGCGGTATGCTAAACCGCTAGACCACTGAGGTCGACTACAATACTCTGATATACTTTAATGGACTGATGTAATGTTTACCCCAGGTAGATTAGGTTCTTACCTAACGTCGTCCGCGTGATTACCGCAGTCTCACCTATTTCAGCCGCCAAGCGGCATGCTTTGTAAGCTGTGTTGCAGGTTAGACATGACATTTATTGTCCTCTGGAATGGCAACATATGAGTAAACAACGTGAGAGGTAACACGGCTATCATGATAACGTGATATTTGTAGAGTTATTCATGTATACAAGATAGAAACTGCTTATCATTAAAGGGCCGATCAGCTTATTTACCATTCCATTCCATGTAAACAAAAAAAATGAATGAATTGACTTACCAATATAATCTATCTGTCTCCAATATATATTACTCAATGCGTCCATCCCGTAATAGAAATGAGAGAGGTATTTTAATGGATACAACCAAGTTGGCATGGAGGTCAGCCGGAGGAACACTCCTGACGTTAGCAGCAACGGCAAATCTACGGATGCCATGACGTCATCCATCAACCCAGTTGAAATAAAGAACGCTCCCATTCCAAGACCTTGAAAGAATCTGTTTATTAAATTTATACTATACAGTTAGCGCAGAAAACATATTTCAAAGTAAGTACCTATTCTATGATGTATGTACTCCTCTGATGTATGAAATTCATACGAAATAATATGAAATCCAATTAAATCGCTATTTGTCGTAATATAAAATGACTTTTAACATCATCCATTGTTACGTTACTTTCATAATATTAGCTTTAATACTGGTGAAAATAGGCCATAATTTTAATATAGTATACGATTCATATGTGTCGTGTATAACTATCGAATATTGATATTGCATATATCATTGCATCTCTTCTGTATGAACCTAAATCCTATGAGTAACAGTCTAATTATTATGTTGTTATTTCTAATTAAAACAGAAGTTAAATCCATTTGTCTTAAATAAATTATGACACTAAAGATAAATAAAATGACTGACAAACAAGGAAATTTAATAAAACGATAGACTATCTAGTTCGAGCAGACATTGTAAAGAGAGAGATTCATTGGTAAATATTAAGATATTCTATATATAAAATAAATGTTTAAAGATCCTACCGAAAGCAACAGAAGACAATCCTGTGAAGAATAATGCTATAATGAACTTTAATACTGTGATCAGATGATTAGGTAGCTGCACTGTTGTCGTCGCCAGAATGACCAGTGTCAATGGCCATATTACGCAGCGGGGTATCTGTGGCATAAGAAATATATAAATCCGTACAAAATTTTTATGGTGCTTAAACACAATTGGACTGATTCTACTTTTTACTTATTTCTTAGTTAATCAGAAATAGAATCATAATGTTTTAGATGTAGGTTAAATTTGATCTTCCAAACTTTAAGGTAACTCGGGACACTAGTGTTCCGTTAGTTCTTTCTTCTGGCCATCCTTATCCTTATCCTTACTTCCTTACTAATATTATAAATGCGAAAGTAACTCTGTCTGTCTGTCTGTCTGTCTGTCTCGCTTTCATGCCAAAACTACTGAACCGATTTAAATGAAATTTAGTACGCAGATAGTCTAGACGCAGAGGAAGGACATAGGTTACTTTTTAATGCGTAAAATGGGTTGTAAGGGGTTCAAAATGGAAATACAAGGTTATCTTTATGTGGTTGAATCCTTATTGGTCATCTTTTCATTTCACTAGCTAACAACCAATCAACACATCGCGTGCGTTTGCGCCATTCGCCATCTTTTCATTTCACTAGCTAACAACCAATCAACTCATCGCGTGCGTTTGCGACAATAAGGTATCCATCACAGAGAACAAAACCACAGATAACATAATGTAAAACGAAAGATCTTGCCGGAAACATGACGTTGACGTTTAGTGAAAATGTTGTTTTTTGACACTTTTTTATAATAAGTAGGATTTTCTGTATAATTGGATTGGGCTACTGAATGGTAATTAATAACCGTAGCCCAAAGTATAACGCATGCGTTGCTATTCTAGACAACTAAGATGTAACGTCTCCTTACCCTGTAATTTCACTGCAATATTACGCTTCGACTGGAAAACAGCTTCCTACTCGGACTACTAGCAGCACAATTACAAAGACTTTGTACAAAGTCTTCCTCTGACAATATGAATAGGTAAATAACTAGTATATTAACTTACAAAACACAAAAATGTAGCGACAATGTACGCCGAACAGTCATACATTCCAACTTCTCTCTTAAACAGCGCGAGCTCTGTATTGAAGACGTTTAGAGTGCTGTACGCTAAGATAAATGATAACTCGCTTGTCAGAAGCCAGAGTAATCCTTGAATGTCCTGAGTGCCACGTGGAGTAGTTCCTGATACACCAGCGAAGCAAGTTCCTATCACCATCGAGGATATCATCTAATTAGGAAAGCAATTTTATAATATACCAATGTCTTATTTATAAACAAGCTCTATATAATAAGTATAAGCTCAATATAATGTATAAGAAACATTTAGTTTCATACATTCATATTCATAGAACTGATATTTTCATACAAAATTATTTTGTAAAACTGTCTTTTTAATTTTGATAATGATTGAATTCACTAGGTTTAAATATAAGGATGTTCTTAGTTCGTTTGTATTTATGACAAATAAAAATTGTCTATCAACAGCTAAACAAGTTTTAGTATATCTTCACAAAATCTGAATTGATTCTTTTTTAAAGCTGATTTTTTCAAGAATGATATAGATTAATAAAACGTATACACAATCTCAGAAGAAACTAGTATTACTAAGCATAATAATATATAAATTACTATAATACTCGTAAATATACTTACCAAAGTAATGAACAGTTGAAAAATATGGGTACGTATACTTCTTTTTAATGTTATCGTAGATCTCCATAACAATAAATAAACTTGTTTAAGCCAACGCCTCTTATAACTGAAACAGAATATTATCGACATCAATCAGTCACTAGTTACCCGTTCCATCTTCGCTATTATTAGTTTTGTATTAACATAGCATATAGCAAATATCACTCTGCAATATGAGTACATTTCAAACACAACTTCTCAAATCAGTGCAGTAGAATGTAGTTAGAAATTTCCTTACTATATACCAAAATTAGTTTGTATCTTTAAAATACGGAATAGGCAAAAAACAAAGGCATACAGGGTAATATTCTCTAACAAAATATATATATTTGTTTGGAACTTAGTATTTTTGGTAATATACATAGATAATGGTAAATTATTTTTTTGAATTTATGAATTTAAAAAAAATGACAACGACGACAAGGATGAAGGATTGAAGGACCAACAAACAGATGAGCCATCTGATAGATACGATTATTTGCGGCTGTTGCAATATCACTTCATTTGCCATACACATAACGATCAACATAATCTCTAAAACTCTATATTTTCCAAATATTCTACATGGAATTTACTTTGGACCTTTCAATTATAACCAGTGTCAATAAACCCTTACTTGAATCATTAGTTTCGTTATAAATACTCACATATGCGTCAATGCATTAGATATACGATCTGGATCATCGTTTCGACTCGACCGGTCTCGGAAAGATTCCATGATTTCTTCATAACGGTAATTATTTAAATTAGACACCGTCTTGATGTAGTATTCCGCTGGATTGTAATTCTCGGGGCAATGGAGGTTAACACTAGACATTAAAGTACCAATAAAAATTAATTAGAAAAACAAAATTTTAATCCAATATGATAAATAAAGCCACGTCATATACTCATATCATTAGATATTTTATTTATTTAAGCATTGCATTCCATAATCGTTCAATAATCAGTCAGTAGGTAGGTAAACTAACAGCAATTATGGGACCGTATTTTTTTTATGGATGATTATGGAATAGTGCTGTTGGGCTAACGATTTACGCTGGCGGGGCACTAGTCGAGGATAATTTCGCGGTTTCACCGGCGCTTAATTTATAGTCTGTGTTATTATGATGTATAAGCTACATTAGTAGTAAAGTATCATCAAAATACAGTATTTTTTGCATGAAAGACTAACACACATCCGTCTATTCATCCTTACTCACAAACTTCTGCGTTTATAATAATATTAGCACAGATAACATATTATTACATAATATTAGTAAGATTTCATATTTGGAAATCTATGTATATTGCCTGCCGCCTATGCCTAGTCGTCACAAAACTGTAGATTGTAATTATAGTACAAAGAGGCATGATACCTCCGGAATCTTCCGGAATCCGGAAATCCGGCCTCCGGAATGGTAACGCATGAACGGTACCAGACGCGTCACATGATGACGTGATAATCGTGGTGCTGTTCTTATACCTATATACGCGACGGTTACCACTTGCTATTGTAACACATGTATAATCATCCAATTACATAAAAATATCAATATAAGAGAATCATCTTAATATTAATTTTTAGTTTTGTCATTTAAAAATAGTAGTTTTACCTCGCAAATACCTCATTACAGTCCTCGTGGGATCCATGAAATAATAATCGACCTTCTGCCATTAATAATATTGTATTAAACTCTTTAAATAAGTCGCTCGACGGCTGATGCACAGAGCATATAACGATCTTCCCCGCCATAGACATTTTTTTTAGCATTTCAATGACTAATGTTGCATTATAGCTGTCTAAGCCAGTTGTAGGCTCGTCACAAATTAATATTTCCGGATTAGATAACAACTGTAAAACAAATAATTAACTAAAATATCATTAAGGCTAAGAAATAATAGAAATAATTTTGATTCTGTAATCTGTGATTTTGATGCAATACGTAAGTTTAATTTTCATTTAACATTTTAGGAAGCATCAAAATCTGTTGAGACAGTTGAAAACAGAATAATTTTTATAGTCAGTTGAGATGTATGTGGTTTGAAATTATTGTAAGTTAATAAATAATTTCTAATAAATAAATACTAACTATTACTAATACTAATATATCTTACCGACGTAGCAATGGATAGAACACGTCTCTCTCCACCAGACAATGATTGAATTAAAGTTTCTTTATGAGCATACAGTTTTAGTTCCGTCATCAATGAATGTAGAATGAATTTATTCGAAGGGTTCTTAGAGCTACCCAGTTTCATTTCTATCTGTAACAACACTTATTCAATGAGAATCACTATACCTAATCTGTTACTAATCATGAGAAACTTATTACCAACTTGTATAACAGGGGTAACAGCGTTTGTTAGAAATGTGGTGATGAAACTGATGACCTGATTGCTAAAAATGTACTATTTCAGCCCTGACCTCATAGAACTATCATGATAAATTTGTGGTTATTTTGTCATGATGGGCTAAATAACCTGACCTCACGCTCATTCTATCAACCTGCTCCAGCGTAAACCGCAAGAAGATGCATCATTCCATTATCATCCATTAAAAAAAAACTTGTTTAATGTAAAGTAAATCCTGTGGATTGTATACTAATCCTCTGTTAGTTCAAGTAAGTGTGTATTAATTTGAACTAACTCATTACAATTAGGACTAATTATATTTTTTATTAGGGACTGGTACAAATTATCAAATTCATTTGTTTTAACTGATGGAAATATTTACAAGACAATAAAATCTTTTAAATGTTTTGCTTATAAATATGTCGTGCTTAAAGAATATGTATTTTGTTCTTAACGACGCAAAATATTTTCAAAGGTCCAGGTCCTGTTTTTTTAATTCATAATATTCTCAATATAAAATTCTAAATTGTTACTCTTCTAAGCCATTTTCAGCGGAATGACTATAAGAAGCGAACGGGGAAATTCACGGTTGTTGACTCCTGAAAATTTCGCTGTCATAAAGAAAATGATGTTCTATATAAAGCGTTATATAGAGTTACTAACCATAAAGATTAAATGCTCCATTACGCTCAAATTGTTCATGAACACTTCAAACTGGGGGACAATTTCGACCACACCCTGCAGCTCGGTAACATTACGGCCTTTAACGGTCACCTTCCCCTTTGATGGAAGGGTGCATTTCCCACCTAAAGCTACTAGAAATGTCGTCTTCCCAGCACCGCTGAAATCACAAAAAAGTCTATTATAACCATTAAGGAGTTTTGTAATAATGTAAGATGCTATAGAGATATATCACGCGGGGGAATAACGACAGGCTGTGGAGCCAGATGGGGAATTCACAATACAAATTTAGGATTTCAATACGAATAAATAAAGAGATAAAAAAAATTAGACTATGCAGGTATGGGGGAAATTTAAGGACAGATTTGAGCGATGAAGAAATTAAAGCTGAAGTTGACAGGTTAATGAAGTAGAGATAATGTTGCTAATCCCTTGAATAAAAATAAAAATGAGAATAATATTACTATATCGGAATATGGAGGTCCAGAACTTTTTATACGATTGTCTACCCCTAGACTTATTGTGATTGATTTGAATTGGCGTTACTAGTGTTAGAAAACGGCATTACTAGTAATTACATGAAAAGTATAACAGTCGAGGGAGACGTCCCTGAATGACTATTTAAATTGTTAATTAACTGTATTTACATGTATTTTAAGAAAACCGTATACTCACCTCGGTCCAATGACTGCCGCAAATTCGCCATTCTTTATACATCCTGAAACTAAATAAAAGGTAAATAATAAATATTATTAACAATTGTCATTTTGTTGTATTTATTTACCTCTGTTGATTCTGTTTTAAAAACGCAAAAAAAAAACAGAAATCGTAAAAAGGTAAATGACATCTTAATACGTCTGTTATAACATTTTAGTCCACAGAATATATACCACTTTAGTCATAAAAATGCTTCGTCTGTAATAAAGCTACCTTAGCTACATTCTTAATTTAGAAGTAATTATTAAAATGCATTATAAAGTTGATTTAGTGGTTATAAGTAGGTAAAGGTACCTATTAGAGTCGTTTTTGTTTAATTATTATACCCAGTTGACAATTGGTGGTACATATACAGATAATAAAGTACTTACTCTAGAATTATGAGTAATGCACATTAAATTAAATGATTCAATTTGACTATTAAAGAAGTTCTTTAATATGTTTTCTTTACATGATATCGTTTTATTTACATGTCTTATAATAAATATATGTATCTATATATGGTAGTGTAGGTCTAGAAGATTTGCTATATTCTCAGACACAGTTTTCAAATAGGCCAAGTATTTTTTGTGCTCTCTCTTCTGTGTATGTATTTAGAAAAATGATTCAAGTATTTATACCAGTTGTTTAGTACACATAACACAAACTTTGGTCAGCTAGAGACTAGATGGCGCTGTGTAAATTATCCAGGATTATTATCATTATAATTAAAAGGCACGTCAATTGAAAAATTATACAGTAACAAAGCTTTATTGGTGTAGTTTATATTATTATTATTATTATTATTATCATTCCTCTTAATACTAGTGTAGACATACCATTATTTAATATAAAACATTTAGGTTTTTTCTGTTTTCGCCTCCACCACGATTTCTCTTCAGGTGTCCAAACTGTAAGTCCATCGAATCTAATCGCATCATAATTTTTCTCTTGAACTGTCTGTAATTTTTTTTAATTAATAATCTTACAGTATTTTCTATTTTATACTAGCTGTTACCTGCAACTTCTACTGCTTTTATTAAGATACGACGACGTTGTGGTGACACAATCCATGTCAAATTTCATTAAGATCTTTCAGACATTTGTAATCAAAACTTAACAAAGGCTAGAGATTATTACAGATTTAAAGGCCATACATTTATATTACTTTTTTTAATTCCACTACCCTTAGCATGTGTGAGATCACAAATATTCAGTGCGGAAACTTGACCATTGCTACTGGAAGCGTTACGATCATGGTGATCAAATTCTGACCGTTATAGAATCTACACCGATATTGCGACACGTCTTTCGCGTCTAAACTAGTCATCATTAGAATAATATATCATAAGAATAATATAAATCCATTTAGTAATGAGTAGGCTTCCGTAATATTACACCAAATTCGATAAAATATATAAAAAGAACAATCTAAAATAACAAAATTTTGAAACTAGACTTTAAAGCTTTAGAGTAAATTTCCAATTGTAATTTTTTGGTTGATTATTACTTTTATTTGGTTGCTTATTATTACTTATTACCAGTATTGTACTATACGCTATGGTAATTAAATGGCATGGTATGTAGGGATAACATCCTCAGGAATGGTCATACGCGAGGGGTTTACGATTGGCACAATGTGGTCAATATTGCTGTAGTCATTTAAAAGCTAATTTGTATCTATACTATTATAATTACAAAATCCAAAATCCTATCGTGATATTTGTTTTAAATATATAAAGTGTAAACACAGTCACTTACCCTTATTAGCGCCATTAAAATTCACAGAAAAAAAAATCTGAAATAATTAAAATAAAAAATTAAAACATTATAATTCAACAACACAAGATTCTCAAAGAACTGGTACGAATCTAAATTAATAGTACAACGACATTATGATAATGTACTTAATCATTATATCAATATAATAAATGATAATTGCGTCTTGTTAGTTTGCTGTGAGATTTCGTAGTGTTTCCTATTATGAAATAATTTGAAACGTACAATCTAAGGGCTAGTACACATAGTCTTAATAAATACGTCATATGTATATATACAAGATAAAACACGATATACATTTATTTTATATTATATTTATATATTTTTTGCTCGCAAAACTGCTGTTTTAGATGGGGTGATCAGGAGGGGGAGAAAGTCCTTAATAACAGAAACTTGTAGTCCAATCCTGGCGCTTCTTTAGCATGCAGTTCCCTCTGATCGATCCCTTGTCCCATTCAAACGGAAATCCAAAATCACAACAGTCTGAGCCGAAGTTTAAACGGTACTCTTAGACTTAAGTTATTCCGTCCGTCAAAAGTTGATCTTTAGCCGCTCCGTTTGGAGTGCCCTTTATTGTCTTTTTCGTCCAATGAACGTGTAAAGGCCAACAACGGCCAACACTATAGGAAAAAAAGCGGTTCCTCCTGGACCTAATAGCAGTAAATTACTAGTGATTTCGCTACGATTCGCTAATTTAATAACATGACAACATTCGATCCTAATTTTCTACTGGTTCAAGTAAAAACTATTTCAAGCTGTTTTCGTAACTGGTACACCAGTTTTCAGTGAAGCTCTAAAAGCCAACAAATACAGCCGCATTATAGAGTATTAACTATGTAACTAAGTTATTTTATTAATAATTTACAAAGAAATTGTTGTGTATAGAGCGTTATCGAAGTCTTTTTACTGAGGTGATTACAGTCCGTTGTTGTTTTAACCCAATATTTTATTATAATGAAGATATATATATACAAGCAGGTATATTAAAATTTCTTAAGGGTCGGCATCTCGCATGATTCACCCTTGGTATTTCAGGCATTTATAAACTACGGTAAAGGTTTACTATTAAATGTGCCGTATGCTCGTTTGCCACCATAGTAGTATAAAAAAAAAGAATAATAGCTACTGATTTAGTAGTTTCAGATTTTACATTATTTCTATCTATCTATTTCTGCATTATTCTTCTGTGTACACGAAGTTCATTATCTTCCACTAGTACCCCGCTATCATATGCCGTTAACGAAGTAGCTATAGAGAACCATTTCATATTCATTATTTTTTATTTTTTAAAAATCCAAGAGATGGCAGTAGTAAAATTTTCTCAAATAGTGAATTATGAATTTATCTTATAAACTCCATTATAAATCAACATACGTCATTCCAAAATTAGTTAGGTATATATTATATTAATTATTTATATATGATTATTCAAAAGTGTTGAAACATTTTGGAATAGTATTACTTATTTTTTTGTCTAGCGCTCATTCGGAAAGAAGAACGAGTAAGAAACTTGCGTGTTGCTCTTTTAGGTACCTTACTTTTTTAATCTATACATCTGTACATATAAATAAAATTGGAATGTCTGTTTGTAATTGAAATAATCGTTTTTTACTACATGTATATGAATGTAAATACAGTACATACACCAATATATTTTTTTTTACAATTTTTGTTTGTCTGCCTTTTGTTCCGGCTAATCTTTGAAATGGCTGGACTCCGATTTTGACGGGACTTTTATTTGCAGGTAGCTGATGTAATAAAAAGTAACTTAGGCTACTTTTATTTTAGAAAATAGTTAAATTTCATGCAGACGAAGTCGCGGGTGCAACTAGTTGTAAAATAAAAATCAGTAAATTTACTATATAAGTATAGGTATATTTTAAATCTACAATAGCATTTCACACTCATACAGTAAGTAGATAATACTTATTATAAATTATTACAATAGTACCTATCATACAATATTACAATTACGTATTTTTTTAATTATGACTTCAGCCGTAGATGGCACTAGACAACTTCCTGGAAAGTTTAATGTAAAATAAAAACAATAATACACTTTAAAACAAAGATCCTTTAGTTATTGTTCGTAGGAATCTATATTAAAATTTAAAAAACGGTATTATATCTTACCATAGTCAATATAGAAGTATAAATACACTATTTTGTTCTGTTCCAAAAAAATATGTTCTAGATAAAACAATATTATAGTAATTAAAAAATAACAAATCAATACCCACAGCATGTCGTTAACAATTACATGAAATTTTTATAGGAACCTAATTGTACTTTTGTATTAGTTATAACCATATTAGAGATTGCTGGTTGAAAATATTTTGTGAACTATTAGAGATGTATATTTAAAATATATTTATTATTCAATTAAAAGTGCATTAACGTGCATTCTTCTACAACTACGATATAAATTAGATACACAGTCACAATAAATGTTGAGACCCTATTGAACTAAAGTTCTAACCAATAGAACGTCTATATAATATCGTTTAATTTATAAATTTATTTTCTATTTTATCACTGTCATTACAGCAGTTACAAAATTAATTTGAGAGAATGTAACAAAACGGTCTAATTGGATTACTATTGATGATTAAAATGGATTTGTAATATTAGAAATGAAGATTTTTATACTTGTATTTTTATACTAAAATTTTTACTTTGAATATCTTTGCATTTGAATGTGTCTTTAAAAAACAGATTTCATACTGTCCTCCTTTATCAGTCAGAGAGTTAATCATACATATAATATTTACTGCTATTTGTTTATTTATTACCCTGTCATGTTAGTAACTAGTCAATATACCTATATCAATAACGTGTCACAATTATTCCAATTTCGAAATATCCAAAACATGTACAAGCTTATTTTAAAGGAATACGAGCTGAGTTTTTGCAGTTCTTCTCAATTCGAAAACATTCCGAACTGACGGCAGATTTGACATATCATAAGATTCTTTAAAAGACCTACATCAATAAAGATATTTTGATTTAGATTTTGAATATTTATTTTAAAAAACATTTTAAAATCTAAAGTGCACGTTTTTCATCAAACATCAGATATTTCTTTCTAATTCTACATCTAAGCATTGATAAAGTTTACTTTATTATTAGGCCTGTTGACTGTCTGCTGTCTCAGCACACTGTCAACTGGCCTAAGCAGTTGTCTCTTTAACAGAACTCAATATCTTAACAGAAATTACATAAATTTTAATTTAACAATAAAAGGAAAATTGTTAATAAAACAATAATATATAAATCATGTGTTGAACAGAAAACTATATATATATATATGTACATATACGTAATGTTAAACTATACAGTACTTTTTTTATTTGTCAAAAATCTCAGAAATATATTAGATTCGGTTATGAATATGTGACATATTCATAACCGAAACATTTCATATCATTTTCAATTATATAATTGTATTATTGCATCAAGTCAATGTTACAGATAAAAAATACGACCACATACTCTATATATTCTACAGATTATAAAATTTTGCATAGTGTATACGACAATTAAGTAATATTTATTTTCTGTAATTTAAACGCACGTTTCAATTCCAGTACATTTTTATATTATTTGATCATTGTCTTAACAAATAAGACAAAACAGACACTCTCAAAAGTTTATTTTGTTTATGTCCAAAGAATTTTTTTCTATTTATTATTTTTATATAAGTTTTTGTGATTTGGTGAAGATAATAATAAAAGAAACATAAAAAAATATCGATAAGTCATTAAATATACACATGCCTACATATAATTATGTTATTAATAAATATCTACATATTGGAACTTTTATTGATTGATACCTAGGTCTTAATTATGTAACGTTGTTAGTAACAATTCTAAATTGTGATATAAGACAGTTAGAAAACCTTAAGTTTAACGATTCTATGAAATCCATGCATAACTTTAAAATATATAAATCAAGTATTCGAAACTGGAAGGATCTTATTGGTTTTTATCATTTGCCGTAAAGACGCTAGGGTCATGGAGCCCAGAAGACAAATTGTTTTTTACGACTATGGAAGCGCGCTCCGAGGGTAAGTGACTTGAGTGCTGATAGCTACTTTGCCCAGAAAATAAATATAGCGATTCACAGAGAAACGTAACACTCTTTCAATTGGGACCTTTGGATAATAACAATAAATATTCACGACTGTTATTACAAAATGGGTTAGTTAGAGGCTATTTAATATTATTCATAAATAAAATAATATTACAATATTGTAAATATCGATCTGTTTTCCATGTGTATTGTTAGTAACAGTGTTACATAATTAAGACCCCAGTCTGTATACATTTTGTCAAACTGTGTGGACCCTAACACTCTTACTGGATAATATATGGTAATATATTGGTCAGCAGGAACATGATTTGGTGTTGCCATCTCGGTTGTTCTCGCCGTTCGCTATCTTGTGTTCAAGCGAGAATCTCTCACCGTCTTTACTATCGTTGTTTTGAAGTAGTTTGTCGTTAAGAAGAATCTAGAACAACATAATAGGTGTATTATTATGAGTATATTTTTTTATAGTTATTATTCGTTGCATTCAATTGTGACAAAATCACGGCTCAACTCGCAATCGCTCGATTATAAGCAATTTCATTTACAACATTTAGTTCTAATTAACAAGTTACGTGCACTATTCGTATTCTGTTGAAAAATAAAAAAACTTATGAACCAATTTATGAGGAAAATATTAATTCTACAGTAGATACAGAAGAATTTCTACAGAACATATTTGAAGGAAAAAAATAATACGACAGACAACGGCTGTATGGGCTCTAAACATTTGCCGATCCTAAAAGGATAACAAAAAAAACAAAAATGGCGTCGACAGTTGACAATGGTTTTAACTACTCGTTTTAAGAGTTCGTATATTTTAGTATTCATAACATTTTTTACCTAACTTATATAAATCTAGATGACCACTAGATGGAAAGGAATAACTGTCGCGCCGCCTCTACTCGTATATTACAGCACTATGGAAATCACATTGTTTTATCAATCTGACGCCCGTAATACAGTCATGAGTTGTCATTCTGGAGGCATAAGGTGTCATACCTTACCTCCATACCATGTTGTTTCTACTACTAGTACTTTCAAACAGGTGAGACATACGTGGCCATACAGGTAGACAGTTTCCTCAACTTTATATAGTCTGCCTGAGTTTTTACCAGAGATACTATAAACGTCTACAACTATAAAAAAAACTAAATGTATTAATTTTTTAATAGTTTTAGATTTTTGGTCTTTTTGATCATTTGATCATCACAATTGGTTTAACAATTATTATTCTAAGTTAAAAATGTTAATAATAAATTGTATCTTTATGTATATAGTATTTGTGATTGTACTTTGGATATTTTATATTTATGTTTTATTAAATTATTATTATGAACATTTCGACGCACTCAACACTTCCTATGCCACGCTATATTGGGTTTTGGAAGAGATCTCTTTTAGAGATAAAACCTCCTTTGTAAACATTATTTCTAATTAACACATTTAAAAATGTATTTAAGGGGAATAAAGACTATATATGAAAATTACAACAATATGAAATAAAACGATACGGAGGCATGAAACCTTATTCTTCCGGAATGGCAACGCATAAGAGATATTCACGTTCTGCTGTTCACGTATATAGGCGACGGTTACCACTTACCATTAGGTGAGCCGTCAGCTTCTTTTCCGTTCAAATTATACAGAAACATACCTTATTAACTAATGAGCGCGCCGCCTCTTCTATATTAATGTTCTCCTTGGCCGAAGTTTCGAACCAGCCTGCGAAGCCCTTCTCCCTGCAGAACTCGTCCATCTTTGTCGGTGAGTTTACTATGCCCTCCTTTTGTTGATCGCACTGTAAAACAAAAGACGATCAGTTGAGGATCAAAATGAAAGGAGCATTCATCTATTGTACCTACTTATTATTAGAATCTACTCATTATTCAAATCATAATTTATAGGGCGTATTAATACATTTAATGCCGATTGAAGTAGCTTTTGTTTTTAAAACAGAAACTGAATATATACATAAAAATACTGAAATACTAATAATGATAACTTTTTATTCCGAACTGACATGATTAAAGAATGAAAAACCGTTTGTAAAATCAGTAGGTACGGTACTGTTCTATCCCTATAAGCAATACAAATAAACTGAATAAAAATATTTATTAATAACGATGATATTTAAAAAAAACACTATATCAATTGACGCTGTGTGTTGTTCTAGGTTAATAACAATAAAAATATTAACAACACTCACCCAGAACAATACACAGCGCCATTTAGACTATACCTAAGTTAAGTCTAGATGGCGCTATGTGAGTTGTGCTTCTGTTATGAGTACTAGACAGACAATTGATACAATGCATTAATATAACAATTGATAAGACCGCAACACTGCAACAACAGGATTTCAGCGGGCCAGAGACAAAACGTTGGTTATACTTTGTGATTCAAATTAGCTAACGATAGGATTAGGCATAATTATACGTATCTATTGTAATAATTGACATTAATTAAAAAACTAGCGAGGAATCTCCGATTTTATTTACACAATCAAAATTCTCATCTCACGGAAAAGGCCATTCACTCATGAATACAAATGTTTGCATCGTGCGAGGAATTGAACCCACGATCATATAAAGTAAAACGGTGTGTTGTACATACAATACATTTAAAATCTAATGGAAAACCACAATTTTACAAGTATATCAAAAATGAAGGAAAGATGTTGAGAAATAACAAACCTTATTGCCCAGTAATATGCACGGTATTGGCGAGCCATCAGGCAGCTGTACTTTAGAGTCCAAATCGTTCTTCCACTTGAAGATTGCATCGAATGTGAGCACTCGTGACACGTCAAATACTATGAATGCCCCCACAGCCTCCTTGTAGTACACACGGGTCATGTTTCCAAAACGCTCTTGCCCTGTAACAAGATTATTATACTTTTATTTATTTATTCTTTTCAGAAAGTGTTGAAGTGGTTTACTAAAGTGTTACAGAGAACCTATCTCAGCTGAAGAGCTAAGTTAGGTTCTCCATGGCCAGTGCAACCTAGTCGAATCGTCGAGGAAATGCGTATATTTGCCAAAAAATTAAACGTGAAACTTCAAAAATAAAAATAAGTATCTTAGAGAACTTAAAGATCGTAGAGAATGGGCTTAGGTGAAGGGGATTATTAGTAAATGGGAACAAGTGGGTCCCATTTTAATCAATAAACCATGTTAAGTCGACCTCTATGTGATCTAAAAATTGATAGTAAAATACAGCACGCAGGAAACCCTACACACTGCTCCATATTCATCACAATTTCCTATCAGGTGGTCCACAATCATCTTACTTCTAACTCCACGTTGTACAAAATGAATGTTCATTTAGAAATTACCTTTACTCTGCAAATTAATGTTGAATCATGATAAGTAACGATAGAAATATAAAACTGAACACCACCGTCAGTAAGAAAAATAACGCAGCGAAAGTTTTACTTAACTCGTCCATTTTACTACCCAGTGACAGATGGATGATAAAAATTTATAAACAATATAAATAACTGGCAAATATACTAAAGGAGTTTCTATTATGAGTACGGCTCAATTAAAATATCAAAGAAAAAGAAAGAAAGAATGTCTGTCTGTTTGTTATTAATAATCTCTGAAAGGGCTGTACCGATTATGACAGGATTATTATTCACAGTTATCTAATCTCATAAGGAGCAACGTAAGCTACTCTTATTTTAGTAATTTATTTTTTTAATTTAATTTGATTATTTTAATAAAAAAGGCCCAGCCTTTTTATAATATTAGTATACATTATTATTAATTTCTAAATCATTAAAGAAACAATTAGTTATAATTTGCGACATGAGATGGACATATACATTATAGACAGCAAACAGTGACGTCATATATTACGTAAAGTATACATAAAACTACTTACAATACAATTTATTATATTATCATAGAGACCACATAACATTGGTCTAGCCCTATTACTGACCGAGGGTTAAATGCTTCATGTAAATCGTTTCATGTTAAAGAGACCGTGAAACTGTCTAGATATCATTTCCAGCAGAAGAAATTTATTTTTACTTAATATTTTTAGTATTCCTTATAAATTACTTGCTGTTAGCCGCAATATAGTACCGTTTTTTGAAATAAAAGTAAATATCTTATATCCATTCTCGTGATGTCAATCAATCTATTGGCATGTCAAACATCAAGATTAGTATGTACATCCGTTTAGTAACAAACAGACAGTCAGTGTATATATTGTAAATATTTGTATTGAGTATAAAAATAGTATTGTCACAACATATTGAAACCAGAAAAGTGTAAGTGACAATGTAAGAATATTCTACGATATAAAGACGTTCAAGATTAAGATAATAGTATACGGAGTATATAATACACAGGTATATAAAGATGTACAAAGAATATATGTATCTTTTAATAAATTAAAAGAATTCAAGATATATGTCTGTACTTTTTTAAAAACAAAGTACGGCCCATTTAGGTCTAGTTAAAACACCAAGACCGATACAACAATGAGAGATGGATGGAGATGTTTTTCTTGCAGAATCTACAGAACAGATTTTGACGAAACTTTTCACGTACTTTACATATATCTTATACATCAGAATAACACATAGGTTATAAATTTCACGAGGGTAAAACCGCGGGCACTGTTAGTTGATAAATAAAATTGATAACTTTGCTCGTTCCATTTCATTCATCCCTAATGAGTTCATAAGATATAAAGTATATACGTTACAAGATATGAAATTTCATCAGAATCAATTCAACCATGCAAACCAAGGACTTACGTTTATATAAACAAAATGTAAATAAAGCATTTTATAAACTAGCTGTCCTAGCACACGCTGTTTTGCCATATAAATTAATATCGCTATTAAAAAATAGTAGTTCGTGATAGAAGGGTGAAATTCATAAAAATGTAAAAAATTGTCAAAAAAAGAAAAGAAAAAAGTTAGGGGTGGACAATCCTTATCACTTAAGGCTAAGAAAAATAGATAGTAGCCGAAAATCAGCACCTGCTGAACATGCATATAAAATTAAAAAAAATCTATTTTTGTAGTAACTAACATTGTGACACGAGAAGTTTATAACATTACTGCTGTTTCATAGATATATTTAAATTACCTGCAATATCCCATAACTGCAGTCGGATTATTGTATTAGCGTCCCAATTTAGAACTTTGAGTGCGAAGTCTACTCCTATGGTGGCTCTGTAGTGCTGGCTGAAGAACTGGTGCACGTATCTCTTGATGATGGACGTCTTCCCAGTGCCCAGTTCGCCGATTACTAGAATCTTGTACAGGTGCTCTCGTCTTTCGGCGCTGGTAGACGCATGAGACTGCAACAAAAAACATCCTTACTAATATTATAAATGCGGAAGTACCTCTGTCTTTCTGTCGCTTTCACGCCAAAACTACTGAACCGTTTTAATTAAATTTGGTACACAGTTAATCTAGTTAGACTCTGAGAAAGGACACAGGCTACTTTTTAATGCCAGAAAAGGGTTTATAAGGGGTTGAAATGGAAGGTAAAAGATTATATAGAAGTATCGTCATTTTTAAAACTAGAAGCCTGAAACCTATTTTTTAGGCTTTTGATCAAATAAATATAAATGAATATATTAGCGTAAAAATTTTATCTGTAAGGAGATAAAATAATATAGGGTATGAAGGTTGGTATGAAAATTCGTCATATTTGAAGCTAGAATGAAACGAATTTTTTTTTTCTTTGGCATTTTTGGGTTAGGTTATTAATATTTGCTATCCAAGATCACAATTCTAAACGGACAAAGTTGCAGAAACAGCTAGTAAAATTATTTAAATACAACCTCTAACCCGCAAGTTTGTTTGCATAAACATGCATACCCTTCCTATTTTTTCAGATATAACATGTCCTTGTAATACAGTCTAACTTTGTTTTTTATTACCTGCGGCTTTATCTCCTTTTTTTCGAGATATACGATGAGCTATATACATCCGAGTGATACAATTTATATGATGAGTGATTAGCATGATTAGCATGGCATCAGGGTATCACGATATCATGTAACAATGTGCTCAAGCTTTGCTATTCCGGAGAACTGTAATATTTCATGTCTTCTTACCTTATAATATTACTACGTTATCTCAACCTTTAATCAAAATACATATTACAAAGCAAGCTATCTGGTGGCCGAGATAGGAGACTAAGGTATCCACGCAGATGACTTTGTACAAAACCTATATACTATAATGGAGCTTAAATAAGAATAATGCCTTCATGAATTAAATAAAATAATTAAGAGAATGCTATATCATTAACTCCACCTTTTATACTATATTTTAATTATCAATAAAGCAGATAAACATATAAAATACTGGGACAAAGTAGATCTGATACGTATCCATATCGTTACATTACATGGGAATAATTATCTAAGATCAAACAGTGCAATTAACGAAGACAATTGACAATTGATGGCAATGAGAATATTAATAGATAGTTCTAGAACTCTGTAGATTATGAGGGAGGTATAATTAGATGACCATTTGAATAGAGCTACTATACACGCTCAATGACCAGCTGTCACGGATCGAGTATGCTTGAATATTATAACTATTACTAGCGAATCTAATAAAAGTCGTATTGCTATTTACATTATTATAAAAATAGAGGTTGATGTATGAAGTGTGAATTTTTTAATGTCTAATCATAAAATATTGTCATTTAAAAAATTGTCCAAAGAATAAAATATTTTTGTGTTAAACCACTCTCATCACTTGGTATGAAATAGTTTACATCCTATTCTCAGATCTACTGAATATACACACAAAATTGTATAAGAATCGGTCAATCCGTTTTGGAGAAGTTTCGTTACAAATACTGTGATACAACAATTTTATATATTACATTAAATAATTATTAATTAAGGGAGCATCGTGACCTAATAGTTTACTACCCTTTCATATATTGAAAGGTCGCTAGTTCAAATGTAACCTTATATTTTACTAACTCTCCGTTGATGAAAATACTGAAATCCATTATTGCGACAAAAACGCTATTATAAAAAAATACATTCACAAATTGTTTTTGCTAACCAGCATGCATAAAATGGAAGTATAGACGCGCTCGCTTGACGGGATAGTGATAACAACTTTACAAGTGATCTAAAATAATTAAAAGTTCATCAATTTATGAAAACCCCGGATTGCAACATTACATAGAGTCCCTAATTAAAATGTAGAAACGCCTAGATAAGACTGAACACAAATTAACACCAAAGTGTAAAAAATTCACATGTGTCAAATAAACTCCTTATACGACGAGCGTAAACCATTAGAGCAAGCACTGAATAAATTGAAGACCATTTTACAGAGTATACCGTCAGCGCAAATACTATTTCATTAAAATGCATTAAAAAATACACATATATGTAGGTGAAAATATTAGATATGATCATGGCGTCTAACCTATATAGAATATGGTAATGTGTTCCGGTTAAATGGGTACGTGAAAATAGCTGTATTCAGTGATGAAATGTGGACCGGTATGGATTTTAATTAATGGGTACTAAGCTTTAAATAGTCGTAACGTTTAACATTAAATAGTAATATATTTTATAAAATCACCTAAATCTAAATTGTCTGACGTAAAAATAACTCCAAATAAGTTTTTAACTCCAAGTTTTAACACATTTTACTAAAAAAATATTCACGTGGTTTTGTAACTTGAAGTATCTTTTTACAATAAAAATACTCACGTCAATATTATTTGGCTTATGCTTCGGAGACATCTTCATTAAAAAACGAAGATCTCAGTTCCAGGTTTGTCAAGAAACACAAAAATATGTCCAAAAAAGTAAATCGCTCGTACTGTATGGATTATTTCCGATTAAGATGTCCCACATCGCACTAACTAAACGCTCAACGCCTCGCGCACATCGTCTTTATCAATTCAAATATCGAACGTGAACTTTTTAAAATAATAATATATAAATTTCATAGACCACAAGTTATGTTTTTAATACAGTATACACACTAAAGAATTCAAATTACACAGCCAGAAGACAAGATTACACTATCGACTTCGTCCGATCACCGTTTATTTATGAAGTGAGTTAAAGTAGAACAAACATTCTTATCGGGCACCTGATAACAGACAAGTATTTGTCATTCGCACTACTTAATGTATGTAATCAATAAACTGGTTTATTCCATAATATATTTATTGGAAATGACAGGATCTACTATGGATTACCAGAACGAATGAAAAAACCAAACCATGAAGCATGCTCAGAACTATAGAATGACTAGAATTTGCAATAATACTTTTTCTATGCTCAAAAACAACCCATGTAATCATTAGATGGTCTTTTGATTAAACATACCGCCTTATTCTGAAGATCGCTGGCATGTTTGATTATCAACCTAAATTGCAATATACACTAAGGTTGATTTTTATATTTGTCTGTAAATTGAAGTTTTTTTTATTGATAAGTTGGGGACTTTTCTTAATGTGTATTGTTCTTTTTTTATTTATTATGAAATAAATGTCGTATATGTAGGTAACTGTTGAGTCACACTGCAGTCTCAGGAGGCAACTGTTAAAGTCATTGTACTGTCTTACAATTTGCTATATAATGTAAACAACTCCGTTTATTATAAAATGATGCTGGTGGAATAATAAAAAAAAAATAAGCACATACAAGTAACTTAATCATGATCATTTACGAAGGTTTACTATATTTAGCACGGGTACTATGTTATATATATATATATATTGTAGCGATGCCTATTTTTTTATACATATTTGTTTATATATAACTACTACTACTTTTATTAGTAGTACTAATAATCTTTCCTCTGTTATTGCTTTAGAAACCAGTATATTATGTATTCATAATATACTGGTTATAACAATAACATTAATTCAATTATTTAATAATTAATATTATTGTTATTAATAAATCTTTTACAAATTCCGAAAACATTATTTAAAAAAAAGGACTAAACGATACAACAAGTAAAATTGGTATATATATGATTTTTAATAAACTATTTTTTTTGCTGTAATGTTTATTTACAGTATAATAAAATCGTTAAATTATGATGACTAGGCTAAATTAGTCTATTTGTATATGAGTAGAGGTTTTATGTAAAAATGGGTGCAGGAATAAAGATGCCATTTTCACAGAATATGTTGTTAAGGTAAAATAAGTCAATGTTTGAAAGAAGTTGAGATAAATAGTCACTAAAGGAGAATAATTTCAACAAGTTAAAAGATTAACTTCAAAGATTATTCAATAACTTGAATAATTTTAACATCATTAATATAATACACATATCACTCTGAATATGACTGAATACGACATATTTGATGTATATATGTGAGATGTAGTCAACTGTCATCTATTTTTTTTTATACTACCATGGTGGCAAACAAACATACGGCCCATCTGATGGTAAATGGTTACCGTAGCCTATGTCCATAGGCCTATATGCCTGAGACACCAGAAGTTCCACGTGCACGTTGCTGACCCTAAAGAATATATATATATATAATATATCCCTCCTGAAGAACCCCATGCTGTAGTCTTGTGAGAAAACCTCAGCAGGCAGTTTATTTCACGATCTAAGTGTACGCGGGAGTAAACTCCTCTGAAACCGCACTGTCCAAGAGCAATTAGGTTCTAGCGTGTGGGGATGAATTCCCTGTGGGTTATGGGTTAAAATATTAAATAGGTACCATCAATTGAAAAATATACATGCATATGAAGTAGTGAGCACCACTCGTAAATACTAAAGTGTTATCAAGAATGCACCATGTTAAAGCGGCCGAAGTAAACCTAGTTTATAGCGCCTACCGGCTCATGTTTACTATCTTAATTCACTTAGTAAATAGGTGAATATTGTGGTTTCTGGTGTAGAACAGTGAAAGTAAGTTTTTGTGTACGAAATTATGCTTTAAAATATTGTACGCTTTCGTCATGCTTCAGAAACTGTACAAAATAGCGGTGCCTAAATTGTGCTGCTTGTAAGTAATAATATTTTCAAGCAAAAAATTGATATTTCTAAAGAGTACTCTAAATTGCAGACTTTACTCTATTGCCAAACAAAGGTCGATAGTGTCATTTGGTATCAGGGATACCAACCTTATTAGAATTCTCGTACAGATAAGAGATTTTTGTCCTTCGGTAGAAGGAGATTTTCAGCCTCGTACGACCATTTACGGGATTTTCAGCTACGAGAATTAATCAAAATGGTGTACGTGGCTAGAGAACTAAATAAAGACAATATACTAGATTTTTTCTTCTTCGTACGAAGTTAAATGTTTTAATGTTGGCAATCCTTTTAATCATTG